CCTCCCCCCCCCTACCTGCATGATTGACTGCTGTCCGCGCGTCGCAGATTTAATCAAGCTTGACAGGTTTTCACTTTAATCCGAACTGACTTGTTTAGGTGACTCCCCTTCCTTCCCCTTCGATATGCGCATTCGCATATTGGACCAATAATTCACGCGTTATCTACCTATCACGTTTCACCCCTCTAGGTCGATATTTAATTGGATGGCTTATCTGGTCTTAGCAAAGGCCAGTGAGCTTACGCAGTTGAATAAGCGCTCGCGAAATTCCATGGCGGTGATAAATTCTGCGAACTATGCATCCGGCAATTGTCCTCCCGTGCTATTTCCGTAACATCGCCTAGGCCATAAATTTGCAAGTCCGAAGTTTGGCCTATATGCAAGTAAAATGCATATACATGGCCTTTCCCTCACGCCATGGTGCAATAACGGGAAGGTACTGATCAGCTGTCGTTTGAAATTTCAGCACAAGTAGCCGGGCTGCGCGTATTCGTGAAGAACCCACTGACCGATATAACTTCTAGCTCTCTGGTGAAACAGAACTGGATGTCGTGGAGAAATAGAAGTCATGCTTGACGGAGACAACTCCTATGCCGAACTGGATAAACGACAGTACGGGCTTAAATCACTCACCAATAAAGGCTGAAAATTGTTCACAGAATATCAGAAACATGGAGTAGATGGGGACCAGCACTTGGTAGCCAAAGCCAATGATTAAGAGACATCTGCGCCGAGAATAAGACCAATCCAACGTAGCAGTTTTCATTTTACTGATTTTGACGACGAAGCAGCTCACTGCGCGCAGCCTAGCAAACGCGGACCATTTACAATATCACCAGTGGCTTAGGCAAACACTTCTCGAGGCAAACTGATGCGCTATATCAGCAATGCTCCTACTAGCTGTTAGAAGTCATCCTAACCGATCTGCGCACATGTAGCCTGGGTGAGACGCTCTCACGCCACGCCATCGGTCAACCCACGCAAAAAGACCCAAACAAACGCGCGGCCTTCAAGGAGTCAAGGTCACGCGAGGCTTACGGAGTGAACCAATCAGATTGCCGAGCGAGTCACTACTCGTGGAGTACACAATCTGATCGGTCCGATCTTACAACTTTGCTTGCTTTATTGCCCGTACTAGGGACAAAATTAAGGACTTCCTTTCCTTACGATTTTGCTTCTCCTCGTCCGCTCTGGGGATTGAAACGAAGCGTCTGAGGCGGCACAACTCTTGACTTTTGGCAACATTACAACACTAGCAACGGCCTGTTGGGTCTAAACATAGAATATGTTCCGAATCGGCCTTTCATTTGGGGGCAGAAAAAATAAATCATCTTGGAAAAAAGTTGTTAGAACATTCTACATGGGGGTTAATGGAGGGAGGAAAGTACAGTGACGAGCATTGTATTGCAATGGTGACTGAACAGGAAATCTCGGACGCAAACCAGAGGGCTGTCTGCAAGACTGCGCCGGGGTTGGCAATGGCGTGAGAATGGTCGGCCAGCATTATAATTTTTAGGGTATTCGCTCTAGTAGGCAACAAAGTGCTGGTTCTGTGTTGCTTCTCCTATACTATGAGTCAAAAGTATGACAATGTTATCTGAACGCTACGACAATGACCCAAAATGGGAGCATGACTGACACATTAGGTTGCTATCCCGCGAGGCATATCAAATACCCAGGAAATTCACACACAAGAGCATTCTGGCTGTCAGCCACAAAGCCCAACCACACTCAAAATTGGTTGAAAGGATCGAACAGACTGCGGGTAGATGTAAGAGGAGACAGTGAGGTGTCTACAAAGGGATGCCTTTCTGCACAGCCAATCAGCGTGCTTAAATTTATTGCGAAACCTCAATCGTGCCTAGAATGACACCGTAACTATCCATTTTCGCAACAAGGATCAGACTGACTTCGTCAATACATTATTTAGGGCCGCCCAACTGACACATAGGAAACTGGCCTTATCACTCAATTGCAGAATGACTTGGCCAACAGTTAAAGCCACTTCAGAGCTGTCTGTACCCCAGAAGCTAGAAAGACACTGTCGACTTTTTCGAGGCTATCAAGGATACTAAATTTGGCGAAATAGGGATGCTGTTATTAAATGTATCCTCAATGCTTACCAACGTACCCCGTAGTAGAAACTATAGAGTATCTATGTGAGTTTACACGCAAAATAAACTACCAGCTAGGGATGAAAATGGAGGCGCTTAAGGAATTACTGAAGTGTTGTTCACAAACCGTACAGTTTCGCTGCAATGGTCAATTATACACGCAAATAGACGAAGTGACAATAGGCTCACCACTTGGACCATTCCTTGCAAACTTCTTCGCGGAGAAGGTTGAGGAAACGAATTTCAAAGACACTTTCAATGAATTTAATTTGTATGGTCGGTACGTGGATGATATCTTTGCCTGACAAAAAGACCACCGATATCGATGACCTAGTTCAAAAGTTTAACACGGCCCACAAGGCACTAAAGTTTACTGCAGAAACGAAGGCAAACAACGAAATCACATTCGTAGACGTCGTCTTATGGCAATAAGAGAATGGTGAGATACAACGCTGGATATTTTGGAAAAAAATCTGGACGATGCAATACATTTAGTTCCCCAGTTTCGTTCCCTTTAATCTCAAACGAAACTTAGTCCGGGGATCAGCAGGCAGAATACGATGCATCTGCTGCCCTGAATTAAGTACAGTAGTCGCCGGTTATTAAGCCCACCTCGGGCCCAAACCAAATTGGGCTTAATAAGTGGCTGTGCTTATTAACCATGGGCTTAATAACCGGCGACTACTATAGAAGTAGAGCTACAGCAGCTACAGGGCACACTGTCCAAATGGTTACCCAGAGAGGTTCATCCTCCTCCTCCATCTCCAGATGGCGGGTTAA